AATCTGTTGTTCACCATGAAAAATACCTCTTATTTCAATTTATGAAAACTAGCTCTCTTCTACTGCTGTGCAGTTTTAAGTCAGTTTGACTCCACCTTCTTGGCAAGTTCTTAGGTACTAGAAGGCTGCATTTAGGTTCCCTCAAACTCTTCTCTTTTCCAGGCTAAACTTCTCCAGCACCCCCAGCCTCTCCTTGTGGAATACACAACTCCAGTGTTTTGCCTTGATTTAACCTGAACTTTAAAATAAGACATTTTCTTCTACACATTTTCTGTAACATATTAAAGATAATGCAGAACATCTAAGCAAAACCGTATAGACTTACGTTCTTTATACCCTTATTAAAGCAGTGTGGAAACAGGCTGCAGCAAAGGGTAAAATAACTACAGATTTGTGTTGATGACATTTCTCAACAAAGAAAATAAACTGCAGCTGGGAGAGAATATATTCTCTTAAGTATTTGGAAAATCACAGAATCAAAGAATGGTTTAGGTTGGAACCATTGGTTTAGGGACACCTCCCACTAGACCAGGCTGCTCAAAGCCCCATCCAACTTGTTCTTGAACACCTTCAGGCAGAGGGTGTCCACAAGTTCCCTGGGCAACCTGTTCCAGTGTCTCACTATACACATAGTGAAGAAAGTCTTAACGCCTAATCTAAATCTATCCTGTTTCAGTTTAAAACTGTTGCCCTTCAGCCTATTGCTACACATCCTTGTGAGCGTTTCCTCCCCAGCTTTCTTGGAGTCCCCTTTCAGGTATTGGAATGCAGCTGTAAGGTCTCCTCGGAGCCTTTTCTCCTCCACGCTGAACAAACCTACAGGAGAGGTGTTCTAGTCCTCTAAATATCTCTGTGGCCCTCCTCAGGACTCACTCCAACAGGTTCATGTCCTTGTTGAGTGCTCCAGAGCTGGCCACAGTACTCCAGGTGTGGTTTCACCAGAGCAGAGGGGCAGAATCACCTCCCTTGACCTGCTGGCTACCCTTCTTTAGATGCAGCCCAGGATATGGTTGGCTTTTTGGGCTGCCAGTGCACATTGCCGGCTTATGTTGAGCATGTCATCAACCAGCACTCCCAAGTCCTTCTGTGCAGGCTGCTCTCAATCGACTTGTCTTCCAGCCTGTATCTGTGCTTGGGATTGTCCCAACCCAGGTGCAGGACCTTGCACTTGGCCTTGCTGAACTTCATGAGGTTGGCATGCACCCATCTGTCAAGGTCCCTCTGGAAGGCATCTCTTCCCTCCAACATGTCGACTGCATCACACAGCTTGGTGTCATCAGCAAACGTGCTGAGGGTGCACCCGCTCCCACTGTCCAAGTTGCTTACAAAGCAGTGGTGCCAGTACCAACCCCTAAGGAATGTCACTCATGACAGGTCTCCATTTGGACATCGAGCCATTGATCAAAACTATTTGAGAGTGGCTACCTAGCCAACTCCTTACCCACCAAGCAATCTATCCATCAAATCCATGTCTGCCTAATTTAGAGACCAGGACGTTGTGTGGGACAGTGTCACACACTTTGCACAAATTCAGAAAGATGACATCAGTTGCTCTTCCCTTATCCACCGAGGCTGTAACCCCACCATAAAAAGGCTACCAAGTTTGTCAGGCAGGATTTGCCCTTGGTGAACCAATCATGGTGGTTGCTACCAACAACTGCCTCATTTTCCATGTGCTTTATCAGAGCCTTCAGGAGGATCTGCTCCATGACATTGCCAGGCACTGAAGTGAGAGTAAGTGGCATGCAGTTCCACAGGCCTTCCTTTTCTCTCTTTTTCCATTTAGCAGGAACTTCACCAGTCTGCCATGACTTTGCAAACAGATAGAAAGTGGGTTTGCAACTTCATCTGCCAGTTCCCTCAGGACCCAGAAGGCATCTCATAAGGTCTGATGTACTTGTGCACCTTCAGGTTCATTAGATGGTCTCAAACCTAATCTTCTCTTACAGTGGGCAGGTGTCCATTCTCCCAGTCCCTACCTTTGTCTTCTGCAGCTTGGACAGCGTGGTTAGAACTCTTGCCAGTGAAGACTAAGGCAAAAAAGTAGCTGAGGATTTCAGTCTTCTCCATATCCCATGTGACCAGGTCTCCTGTTTCCTTCTGGAGAGGGCCTACATCTTCCCTAGTCTCCCTCTTGTCACTGATGCACCTGTGAGAGCTTTTCTTGTTACCCTTGACGTTTCTGGCCAGATTTAATTCTATCTGGGCCCTAGCTTTCCTAACCCGATTGCTGGCTGCTTAGACAAGTTGTGTATTTCTCCCAGGTTATCTGTCCCTGTTTCCACACTCTGCAGACTTTCTTTTTGCAACCAATTGTTTCCAGGATCTCCCTGTTCATACATGCAGGCCTCCTGGCATTCTTGCCTGCATTCCTCTTTGTCAGGATCCTCTGCTCCTGGGCTTGGAAGAGGTGATCCTTGAACACTGACCAGCTTTCTTGGGCCCCTCTCCCCTCTAGGGCTTTATCCCACAGTATCCTGCCAAACAGCTCCCTGAAGAATTCAAAGTCTGCTCTCTGAGCTTGCTGTGCTCCCTCCTCATTCCCCTGAGGATCTTGGATTTGACCATGCATTTGACCAGTCAAGGCTACCCTTAAGCTATGTATTACCCACCAGGCCCTCCTTGTTGTTAAGAACAAGGTCCAGCATAGTGCTTTTTCTCATCAGCTCGTCATCACCTGGATTATCAGTGTGTTCCAGGAACCTCCTGGATTGTTGGTGCCCTGCCATGTTGTTTCTCCAACAGGTATCGGAGCGGTTGAAATCCCCCATGAGGACATGGGCCTGTGACTTACTAAAATCTACTAAACTATTGTATCTACTAAAAAAAAAAAAAAATATTCTTGAAAAAGACATGAGGAAATCTCTATATGTTACAACTTCAAAGAAAGCACAAGGAGCTTCTCAAAAGCAGAGGGGCAAATTATTTCATTAACACTTTTCAAGAATAACAGTAAGATTATTTTTTTAAGAACGAAGTGATCAATCCCTTCCAGCACACTGTGCCATTTGCATGTATCTGGCTCTCCAACAAAACTGAAATTCATCCGGGGACACAGACAAAAACTGAAGCAAAGTTTTAGAGAGACATGATTGTCACTTGAAATAAAACACCAACAAGTAATTACATAATTCGTAGAACACAAACAATTTTCAAGCATAAATAATTTTAGCAACTCGCTTTTACAACATCAAGGTAAAACTAGCCAAAATTTCAATTACTTTTTGACTGCTATGGAAAGTTTAATGAAATCCAATGTATCTGTTTGTTCGCAAATGTTTTGAATTCAATCTGATGCTTCCTTTCATAGAAGAAGCTATACCATGAGAACATTAGATAGTACTTTTCTCAAACCCAAGAAAAGACAGTCACAGCTCACACAAATCCATGAATTCCCCATTTTGTAAAGGTATGTGTGTTACTACTTACAGAGGAAATAGTAACATTTTTATACTTATCTTTGAAAACTTCATTGAAATCTTACAATTTTGAAGCTGATGACATTTGTTTGCTTTGTTTTATTAGAAAAAATACTCAGGCAAGGTCTACAATCATCTGTCAATTATAAATGACTTACAAGAAACTCATGAAGCAATAAAATTAAAAAAATACAAATACAAACTATATCTGAAACACTTCTATTTGGCAATTTTATAACAAAAAAGAAACAAAGATTACGGATTACTTTATAGGTACAGAAAAGCAGTAGGTGAAGTGCTCAAGCAAAAAAAACCAAACCAAAACACTGCATTTTTTCAAAAATAAAGTCACATCACTACAGATTTTTATGAATAATACCCTTATTAAACAACCATTCCAGAATATCTTATATTAGTGGTGCTTTTAATCTGCACTTCATTTCGTTTGATAAGATTTTTTTTGTGTGTATATAAGTAACATTTTTAACCCACTGGAGCTATAAGCAAGACTCTTGTGTCAGTACCAATGCAGAACGCATTTGTATTATATTAAGATACGCTCACTTCTGCAACCAAAGGGTTACTTTAAGTTTTATTCTATTTAATAAAAATTTAGTGTAAAAATTGCTGGTTATTAGTTTCACTGTAGCATACTCCTCCTCAATAAGGAGGACTAACTCTGCAGTTTGACTGCATATATCCATACAAATTTTACATATTAGTTCCTTCCAATAGTAAGGAAGAAACTAATTTTATGTTCACTATTAGAAAGGAGTGCCATGAACTAATTATGGGTACTATTCATCCCTCTAAGATTTCTGGGAAGGATGTTCAATGTATTTTTGTTCTTACAACAGATATAAACAGTAGTATATAGTCCCTTAGGTATGTAAAAGAAGGGGGTTTTTATTGTTAAGGAAGGTGCTTTTTTTAAACAATTCTTCTGGCAGCACTAGTGAATTACAATATCCTTCAATATTATTTCTACCGTAATATATACATTTTAACTTTCATGCCTCTAGAAAAACATCTACAGTACATTTCATAATATAAAAATATATTACAAATCTGCTGAAATATTTACAAGCAATGTCCTATTATCTATATGCAACATTTTTGTCTCCATACAAAGACTAACAGGTTAGACACATCTCTATTTGTCAGTTAAAAAAATCCATGGCTTCTTGCTTATTAAGCAAGAAAATGATTTTACTTTCCTTTTCAAAGCCAACTTTGGTACATAAAGGATTGAATTTCTAGATTATTTTCTTTTAAAAATACCATTTTCTTTACATCTAGAAAACGTTAGGCCAAATAAAAAAAAAAAGCAAACTTTACAAGTGAATGGGGATCCTAAAGGGTCAAAAAAGTAAAATAAAACACCAATAACACTAACTGCTTAAGTAGAGGTTTTTCAAAAACCATCCATTGATACGGATCACATAAAAGCAGATTGCATTAACATACTATACTACTCCTGAAAAGGGGGGTCAGACATACTGCAACACTCTTAACATCTTTAAACCGTACTATATGTATTCATAGTTGACTGGAAAAGACAAGCATTCCATCAACATTTGTTTAAACATTATAATCCAACATATTTTAGGGATCTGTAAAAGGGACACGAGATTACAAATGACAAATGATTACTATCCACCATACTTGAAGGGCAATGGGATAATCCCTTGGTAGCTGCTTTACTGTCTGGCATGTGTTTTATTTAGTTAACAGTGACAAGAAGCCTAATAGCTTGTTAACAGTTCTCCTGGGAATTGTGAGTAAATGGTGATGGTTACTTTTTCTTTTCATCAAATATAAACTACTGTATTCACTAAAGAAAAACGCAGCTTAAAGAAGCAAGCATGCAAAGCCTTTTAGTTGTTCCACTAAGTTGCCAGAAGAGTGTTTGCTCAGTCTCCCACAGTACCATTCCATGAAAATGTGGATATACAGTAATATATTAATATATTCCACAGAAGCATCAACTTCATTCACAGAATGTTTAAACTAAGCATAAATATTTATCTAAGGAGAAACAAAAAAAAAAAAAAAGAAAGGATGGGATTTGACTAATGTGCAACTTTATTTCTAAATCCATTGTCAGTGACTAAGACTGCAGGTGTCCCCACTTGCTTGGTTTTTACCTCTTCAACCTCTTCTGGGGCATTGTTCTGTAAAAGAAGATAATACAGTTTTATGCATAGGCCCTGACATGTAAATCTGAGTCAACTAGAGTATATTATGAAATCATTACTATAAAAATCTACTTTCATTTACTTTGATTAAAACTGAAAGCTATTTTAGATGATACCATATTAGCACACATTTCAGGTAATTATTTCAAACTTTCTATTGAAGCCATCATTTTAGCACGACATTAATAGCTGTCCTAGAATTCCCTTAACCACTTTTTTCCTGTGAAAAGTTTTGGTTTTCAAGTTTATATCTTTGCTCCCCTACACTTGGTCCTAAAGCTCTTTATTTAATCACACGCTGATATCTACAGCTAAAAAATCTAGTACATTATATAATGGGACCTTAATTTTATGTGGGAGAAGCAGAAAGAGTTGCTCATTTTTTCCAAGGAATTAATTCCAAAGATTATTAATTGTTCATTTTGAAAGTTATATTTTCCTTTTCAAATCAAACTAATCTATTGAGTTCTGCAAATGCAATCAATATAAGGATGATTTATACCTAAATTAGATTATAAACAATCACTGTATTGAGCAGTTTTAAAACACACAACTGAATTTCCTCATAACATTTTTATGATTTACTGTTAACATAAGTATTTAAAATACTTTAGTATGTGAATTACTGAACATTTACAAAGCTAACAAATATAGTACAATGATTTATATTCATATTGTAAACCAAGTTTTCATTAATTTGATTAGTGAAATACACTGAAGATTAAAGGTGAACTGAAAGGCTTATCGTGTATCAAACCTCAGATTAGTGTTTTAGTTACTCCTTTAGACACTAGATCAGTGGATGTTAAGGAAGAAACACAGGAACACTGAACTTCTGTTATGACAGAAAAAACTTCCCCTCCCCACCCCCCAACTTATTTCCATGAATTTTTAATACAAAGCCCATAAATGTGTCTCTTTCGATGTTAAAAAAAAAATAGTGAATTAAGCATTTCAGATTACCTTTAAAAACTGTACACACACAGAACTGTGGGTACTGACAATTATGTGAGCATACTAATAAAGAGGGGGGGGAAAATCAGGAAATTATTAGAAACGAGATGGATTAGAAGCCAATCTGAAGTCCTAAAAACACAAATGTGAATGCATCTTAAAGACAAGTAACATATACTGTCCCATTCTGTCCCCTCTAAAGAATCTTGTATTAAAAAAATAACAGTACTTGCACACAAGTACAGATTTGAAGGTAATACTGCATGTATTACAGCTGAATATAAAATATGTAAAGATAAATTTGGACTTTAAAAAAATTGGTATACAAACCAGTATGTGATCTTAACAGAAGTGATCTTTCAGGATTCCACTGTATGTACCTCCTTTACTAGAATTTCTGTACACCAAGCACAAAAAAGTAAAATACACTTGGTAAATACACACATTCCCCGTTTCTCAGTAACTAGAGTTCAGTTCAAGAAGTTAAGTAATTCTGAAACAACTTAAGCCCTCAGAACTTAACTCCTGGACGCTGACGGCATTAAGGCTCCCTGGTCTGGTGTATAATGCATTAGTAATCCTGATTTTCCAACGTCAAAAAGTTAAGTGAGGCTTAAGACTATATTTAAGTAAAGAAAGTTTCAAAATTAGGACGTTACCTGTATATGTTTGGGTCCAGAAGCAAGGCAGTATCTTTTGGTAGTTTTGATAAATGAACTACTTTAGTTTTTAACTGATGTCGTTCACTTTCATTTACCCACACATCAGGCAGACTATGAATAAATAAATAAAAAAATAAAAAATATTCAAAAAATATCAACTGTTTTTCTTACCATAAAATTATGCGGTAAACTAGTACATTTGAGGGTTTTTTAAGTAATCTTCACATTTCACTGCTTAAAAAGCATCTTCATTGGAGTGAGGAAAATCTTTACACGTTATACTTCAAAGTTTTTCAAGTTCTCAGTGTGAAAATTACACTAAACAGAATTTAAAGTATTCCAGAAGAATATTAAACCAAACACACAGTGACCACGGCAGTACATTCCCCACTTTAACAATTTAATGTGAAAAATAGGTAGCTGTAAAAAAAACCCCAGACCTCTGAAAATACTTTCTTTTATTGGATATAAAATTCTTTGATGCTGTCAAAAAAGAATATACCGCAGGCATTGAGCTCTAAGTTACACTAACGTGAATGCTGCAAGTTCAAAGCTTTCAATATCAATATGCTCCAACTTTGCTGAACTTAATTGTTTGATTATCTTCTCAGGAAATCCAGGCAATCACCACAAAAAATATTTTGGCTATGTAACAGTTCTCATCACAAGATGGAATAAAACTTGGTCTTTACAAACCATATGTGGCTTCAGTGCCACATAAGGTTAAACTTCGCGTAAAGGGCTGCGGAAAACATACACAGTTGTTCGATGGTTTATAGTTTAATTCTTTGAAACCAAACATGCCTACTTCAGAGTGACTTATTGCATTATTTCTTCTTTTACTGAAAGCACATTGGGTTAAGGCCCTGATGAGGCTTTCAGGTAACACATTGTTAAGAAAGGCACTGGACTTGCAAGGTTATCAGCGTCTTACTAAAAAACTGCTTTCCTGCCTCCTTCCAATAATTAGCATTGACCATGGCTGTTCAGAACAACCAACGAATCAAGTGATCCATTTTGCTTCCACTATCGAAGGGAAGGGGAGGAGAGAGAAAAAAAACAAAAAAAAAAGACCATACCAGCACACCACAGAACAAAACACCAAACACACCCTTCCCCCCAAAATATGGTTTGTTGGTTTTTTCCCCCCACATGACCTAGGCATCAAAAATCAATTTCAGATTGGGGAAAAAAAAGTTTAAGCTTGCAACCAAGAACTCTAACATACTGAAAGAAGTTTCAGAGATACCAAACAAAACAGTTCTTTCTCCGACAAAAGCTATATGCAATTTTACAGATTTTTGCAAATTATTACACTGAATCTCTATTTTTCCATAATGAAAGTTAGCTTTAACTCAAATTCAATGTTTTGGGTAAGCATCTAAAAAATGAAATGAAACAGAGAACTTCTGTAGTAAGAAAAAGAGTTTCTCCAACAATTCTTTTCCCTTTTCAGATGAAGGTAGAAGAAAGAAGAAAAGTCGGTGAGATCCTGTGTGGAACTCCCCCAAGAGGCAATCCATATATCTATTAAGGTTTAATATGGATCATGAAAGGTGAAAAGTACAACATAAGACTTGGTTTTTAATAAAGTCAAAACCATTTTTTGACAAGCAACACTTGGAAGACATTTTTAGTATAAGCTATGTGCTGAAGATGCAAAACAATAAAAAGAGCAAATAAGGAAATTTTTCACATGCAAAGACTATTTGAAATACACATATAAGACAACAACTCGGCAAGCTAATAAGTAGTGGCAGAAAGAATAAACTGTTGCTCTAGAAAAAACTTTTAGAAGTTATCTCCCTCTTGTACAGGAAATGGTTTAGAGACTAGTATTCACTTTTCCTGAAAAAAATCCTTAATGTACAGACAACTTGATGCAGTTCAACAGTTTCTTTAGATGACTCAGAGTAGAAAAAGTTAAATCATTACTACTAGCTCCATCTGAAAGGCTGACGAACAGTTCAGCACAACAGAAAGTAACCACCATGAATGCATTCAGCTTTCCTAAAGTGCGAGTACATTCACTGTGTAAAACAGACGGATTACATTACTCATGATACCTTGCATTTGCTCTTCTTAACTGTAACAACAAAGATAAAATTGAATCTACCAAATATTCAATAATTCAAAACTACATCATTCAATGCACAAAATATACCCTCTACCTAACCCAACCAACATGCAAGAAATATAAAACTCATTGCTCATTGACCTGAGCAACCAGGTCAAGACACCTCTACTGAGGGTGTCTTGAGAATACCAACTTGACTTCTCCAATGCAAAGATTCTTATATTGTATCCATAAACAAGCAAAAAGTTCATTTGACTCTGTATTAGAAAGAAAAAATACTCTATTTTTTTACTTACTTTTTATGTTGTTATATGCTTTTTAATGCTATTTATCTTAAAATGCAATTAACTGTCTTCATCTGCAGTATTTTTATATGAGTAATTTCAGAATGCTGTTAGATATAGTATTACCAGCTGTCCTAAATGAAGCAAAACCCCCTACTTTTTACTAGAATGTTTTCCCTTACTCTTTCTGAAGTTGAACGGAAACTTGCAGCTACTAGTGCTGCAATAAGTAGCAAAAAGCTACGCTTGAAAATTGCACAAAAATGCCAAATATTGCTGCAGATAACCTACCAGCAATCCTAAGCTTCTGCAAATAACAGTTATAATAGTCACACTGCCAAGTTCACACTACTGCACATGACTAATTTGGGAGACTACAAAACTGAGTAATTTAAACTGCTTCACCACAGCAAAGGTAAACTTCTGTTACAGTAAGGTTTTGCATAACCATGCCACTCAATCACTTAGAAGCAGCACTGAATCTAAAAGATCCCTTTGTTCTAAAGTTAGTTGCATGAACTATGACTTTCATCTGATACTCAAGACACCCCTACCTTATGAGTTCTAGCAATTTAGAGATATCTTCCTAGTAAAATTGAAGTTCCTTTTAAGAGTCTCTAAACTCACTCACCCTCCTTATGCAGCTATTTATCTTAGTGTGAAGTAAAGGTCTCAGTAACTCGTCTGTATGCACATGTACGGATCGAAGAAATAAATTCAATTATAATTATTCTTACCTTTAAAAGGAAAAGTAGTTAATCGCCTTAAAACTTGTGGAAAATGGAACACGCAGCTACTGCTTCTCCTAAAACTATTCTGCCTAGTGCTCTCCTTCAGCATAGTGAAAAACAAACATTTATTCTACTTGTCCACATAGTTAAGATCAAAATATTTACATATAAATTCTTTTCTCTGTCAGAAGAGATAAGATCTCAGCTATTTTAAAGTAACAGTCAAATTATTTCTAAAGTACACTCACTATTTCATGTATCCCAAGGCTACCTGAGGGCAGTATCTTCATCCTGCATTACACACAAGGCTACCAATTTGAGCAGGGCAAAACTTGGAAAAACCCAAGAGAAAAAAGCAGCCAAACATGCTGAAAGAGTATTCCAAGCTTCAGTGGGAGAATTCAAAACAGCAGAAATAAGAGATGGATACCTCAAAGGGCCAACTGGGGTTATAATACTGTTAAATTGTGGCATATGGGCAAATATTCTTTTAGTTCCACTGTTACACTGATGACTACACATTTTTCAGTACCTAAAAGTATTTTAGGATCATAATGACTCTAGGGGTAAAACAGAGTTGGCTCAGTGATAAATTTCCTTACATATATGGCTAGCAAAATCAGCCTGAACTCCTCACTCAACAACTAATTGTCGTAACACCCATAGTGACAAAATGCATCAAAAATACAGGTTCAAATTTACTCGAATTGGTATCAGAGTCTAATGACTTGAAAACTGAAGTAAAAAAAAACCAAAAAACAAACAATCAAAGCACTGTTTATTATTTTTTAAGCTTCTAAATTATTTTTTTTAACTTTAACTTAAATATTCAAAGGCATAACATAATTTAATGACAGACAGCTCATTTATTCCACTGTAAATCCTTTCCCATTTGAATTTTGTACCACATCACTAGCAATATACTCACATGTCCTCTGGTGTCCAATGAAGTAAGAGTTTTATTTTTCCAGAATCTTCTTTTCTTTTAGCTATTACCTGATAATAATTACATAAATGGTAATTAAAACCAAATCTGCAGATTTTTCGCACAAAACCTGTTGTACTTCACGTTCAACTGGACATTCATAAAAGGAAAACTCTCTAGAAGTTGTACTAATTCTATATATAGGTAGAATGTAAGTATCACTACTTAGGCCATTCTTGGCAGGGTTTCATATTTTTCTTTGACATTTGTCTGCTGAGTGGTCCTGGGGCAGGAGGGGTGTGGAACCCTGTAAGCAGTTCTCTTTCTTTTAAAATAGTTCAAATTTTTAATCAGCTCCTCCAAAAGCTTAGAAGTACATGTATGTTTCTACAAATATGCTCACATTGTTCCACAAGACATCTGTAGGAGATGTGAGCAACTGAGGCAGCTTATAGTTTAATTATAGCATGGCAGAATACAACCTTCTCTCACAAATGCTTTGACATCTGGATTCACTGTGCATATAACTTCCTAGGTAACCTCTACTCATTCCTTTTCAGTACTTAAATCAAGCACTGAACAAGGCAATGACAAAGGCTACTTCCAAGAACTCACAGGCTTACAAATCATAGAATCATAGAATGGCCTAGGCTGGAAGGGACCTTAGAGATCATTTTAATCCACCCTCCCTGCCGCCAGGGACGCCACCTCTCGACTAGATGAGGCAACACATGGGGACCGAACAGGAATTGAACCCGTTACCTTGGCGTTGTTAGCACTACGCTCAACTGACTGAGCTAACCGGCCCCTCAAACACAGATTGCTTAATGCATATGTAATGGGGACCCTTAACGCTGTAAAGTGCACATGCTACTACTAGTATATGGAATGACAAATCAAATGACATGCCAAACACCTGCTCTTCATCCTACCCAAAACTCAAAGAACACAAAATGGGAAGCCATACAAAATACACGAGTCACGCATGCATGGTGAATCTAAGTACTAGCTAAAGCAGATCTCAACTGATAGCACTGCTTCTACAGGGATTTACAGTACAATACAAGGTAAGTCCAGAACTTCAGAGATCTCTGAGAACCATCCAATATCACCACCTGCATTCTCCAACAAGAAAAAAACAAACAAACAAACAAACTCTGACATCAGCAGCTTCTCATTTTCAGAAATCTACAGCACAGAATTTAGGACTCTGCTTTTTTACAAACACCAAACTGAAAAGAAATAAAATCACAGAATCATGAAGGCTGGAAAGGACCTTTAAGATCACCAAGTCCAACCTACAGCCCTACACCACCCTAACATCAAACCGCCTCTTGAAGTGCCACATCCAGGCGTTTTTTAAACACGTCCAGAGATGGTGACTCCACCATCTCCTTTGGCAACCCGTTCCAATGCTTCACCACCCTTTCGGTGAAGTTTATTCTAATACCCAATCTAAACTTCCCCTGGCACATCTTGAACCCATCCCCTCTTGTCCTGTAGCTACTTGCTAGGGAGAAAAGGCCAGCACCCGTCTCACTACAGCTGCCTTTCAGGGAGTTGTAGAGAGCAATAAGGTCTCCCCTCAGCCTCCTCTTCTCCAGGCTGAACAGCCCCAGCTCCCTCAGCCTCTCTTCACAGGACTTACCCTCTAGTCCCTTAATCATTATGGTTGCCCTTCTCTGTACCTTCTTCAACACCTCAACATCCTTCCTGTACTGTGAAGCCCAGAGCTGCAACAGTACTCGAGGTGCGGCCTCACCAGTGCCAAGTAAGGGGCACAAACGAAACACTGATGTGTAAAAAAGAATCAGGGTATAAAATTTAGGACAATTCATATACTCCTTGAATTATACCGCTGCAAGTACTAGTCTCTTATTCTAGAGTCCTAGTCACATCTTCAAGCAATCAGTGCTAAACTAAAGGTTTGAATCGGGTTACACACACATGCACAGAAATCAGAGAAAATATCTTTCAGCACTAGAATATTTTAAAAAATACACTTTTAATAACAAAAGAGCTAATCATATACAATACATGAAAACTATGTAAGCTTGGATGCTTTCACAGAGAGATATACAAGTATCCAATGTTAATTTTGAAGACTTTTTCCCCCATTTCATTGGCTGATCTTTTCCCTACTAAATAATCATTATGTAAAATCTGAGCCATTCACTTCTTTTTGACTAGGATGAAAGATCCTCCCTATATATGGAATAAGTCTATTTTTGTTTAAAATTGAAGTACTATGTTAGCTTTCTGTTAGGAGACAACAGAAATTTGGCATCTAGAGCTGCCATTGCTTTTTCCCACACATATTTGAAAATTGTCAAATTTAAACAAGTTTCTATAAAAGGTATAAAAATTATCCACTTTTATCACAACTAGTGCAATGGAAATTTTACCATATCCTAGGCAGGCTAGAGTCAGAAACACAGCTATGATGGCAGACAAATGCAAAAATCGCAAAAATTTTGCAAAAGAAAAAATTGAAAAAAATAATTTGCTATTACACTAGTAATCAGAGTTTTATGGTCAAGTCTGCTAAAGTTAAAATTGAAGAAATCTAACATGTCTGCAATAATGATGCTCTGAAGACTTTAAATTGTTTTGTAAAGAACTTAAGGCCATTTAAATTATTCACTTAAAAATATAATTCAGTCAATAGAGATATGCTCAATACAGTTTTATTTGAAAAAAAGTCTTACTATATTCTCTGAATTTCATGCACCATCTAGAAGCAAGAAATTTAATTTGAATTTCTCTCTGTGAAGGAAACTGTGCATCGAAGTTGCTTCAAATTAGAAACAGAGCTCTGCTGACCTCTTCTGGAAAAAGAAAAGAATTCCACCCTACAAATTGGTATGCCTCTTTCTTTATTCACTTACTATGTTTCAACGTTTTACAATTTAGATTAAATGGAAATGCTCGACTTTTCCATCTGACAATTCAGAGAATCAAAGTACCATGAATTTTACTCGAATAAAATAAACAGATAAAAAAATCACAATGAAATCAAAGATGAACTCCAGATGGCTAAAACATTTCTTCAAAAAGACTTTATTGCATTCTACAGTTTTCTGTATCTATAAAAAAAAGGATGGATTGAAAAAAAATTTAAAAAAATATATAAGTGCCTTTTCATAGGAGAGAAATGATATCTACAGTAACTGCTTAGAAATTCTTTGTATTACTAAGTTTTCACTAGGATATCAAGGGGAGTTTTAGGTTGGATAATAGGAAACATTTCTCCACCAAAAGGGTTGCCCAGGCTGCCCAGAGAAGTGGTGGAGTCACCACCCTGGAGGTCTTTAAAAGACCTGTAGATGTCATGCTTATGGACACGGTTTAGTGCTGGACCTGGCAGTGCTGGGTTAGCAGTTGAACTCCATGATCTTAAAGGCCTTTTCCAACCTAAATGTTATTATGATTCCGTGACTTATGTAAGTTTTCAGAGACCAAGACAAATTTGTCTTTGTATTTTTCATCCTTCTTATAAATGCCTCTAATAATTACATTTTTTTCTGCATTAGAAGGTGGCCCACGTAAACCGCCTTAGACGACTCAGTCAGTCACCACTCAAATTCAATCTCCTAATACTTCTAAGTCATGCAAAGTCTGTTTGCATCCGAGATGACCATTAACTTCGTCTAAACAGTGTACATCCACAAGACTGCTTCTATTTCACCTTTTCTTTTTAAAGCAGACTTTATGCCTAGTCTCATCAATATAGCTGATGTCCAGCACAAACTGACATGACTGTGGCAGCACACTAAAATAGGGTAGCGAAGTGCAACACAGGGATGGAATCTTTAAACAGTTCTCCCACTGGTACAACCTTGCTCACAACTGACGTCTCAGCAATTTCCGATCTAATTGATCCCCTACTATCTCAAGTGGCGCATGCATGGATAAGCTAAAAGGACTTTCATCAATTTCTGCAAGTTAATTCAAAGCAGTTTTAGAGCACATTTCTCCTCCTAATTCCATCTCCTTATGAGTTATTCCAACAGTCAGAGGTCAGCTTCTACAACTGAGTACTCTGTCTGGATAACGTTTCAGATTAAAGCAAGCTATGAATTGGAAGAGAATCTGCTTTTCTGACAGCATTGTAAAATCCATGCTTTCCAGGAAAACCAGAATGAGATTTAAACACAGTAACAGCTAAGACACCTGCAAATTCCCACTTGCAGCTGGTGCTTAACGCACATAAAGTTCAGGAGTAGCCATTTGGGAAAAATTTCTAACAAAGGCCACAAATATTTATAACAAGCATCAGTCTTGCAGAACAGGATAAAGTAAGTTTCACGCACATAAAATAATCTTTTATTTATGTAAAGAGACTGATAGTGCAATAGTTTGAGCCGTGTGTTAAGGTCAAGCCATAGCAGAAGGCAGCAGTCAGCATTCCTTCCTTAGACTTTAGTTCATCTTGCACAAATCTGCCAATTTACAAAGCACCCCGGCTCTCATTTTATCCCATCTCTTAATTCTTTCCTTCAGCTGACTCTACCTTTTATGTGCCGGTGTCTCCCAATTCAGTAAAGAAAAACTCTTACATAGTTCTTTGATTTTCTGATCCCTATACCCCAATTCAGTACTTTCCTCCCTGTTTTGAATTTTTCTAAATGAATACTGATGTCTAGCCTATCCAAGTGAAATTAACAAAATAGAATATGCAAACAGGACTCATTGTGGCCTTCCAAGTTCTCAAGGGGGCCTACAAGAAAGCCAGTGAGGGGCTTTTTAGGATGTCACATAGTGACAGGACTAGAGGGAATGGATTAAAGCTAGAGATGGATCGGTTCAGATTGGACATTAGGAAGTTCTTCACCATGAGGGTGGTGAGACACTGGAACAGATTGCCCAGAGGTGGTGGGAGACTCATCCCTGGAAGTTTTTAAGACCAGGTTGGATGTGCCTCTGGGCAATCTGGTCTAGTGGGGAATGTCCCTGCTCATGGCGGGGGAGCTGGAACTAGATGATCTTTAAGGTCCTTTCCAACACTGGCAATTCTATGATTCTATGACTAAAGGCTCAGTTTCCCACCTGGTACTTACTGTCTCTTAGCAATTCACTGACATTTTTGTGGTAAGTTTATTAAAAGAAAGGGGGAAAACATTATTCAGGATTCTATCTTTTAAACTGGAGAAAAAAAAAAAGGAATAAACACAAATTTCTGATCAGCACCTTTAAATATTCAATCACACAATTACCCTCAAAACATTTCTTATGATAAATCAGCACTGTCACTCATGACTGTGGAAGTGCCATCTGAATCACA